CATATTTTGCATAACTCGTTACTAAAATATAATCGTCCGTTTTTTCGTCTCTTGATATTCCTAGATATTGTTCTAAGCTATGACAAGCTTTTAACTAAAAAAATAAAATAAATTATTACATTTAAATTATTAATAAAAATAAATATTAAAAAAATACCTCTTTTAAGAATGGATCTTTATTCTTATTAGAATCTTTTACGATCTTGATTGCTACTTCTTCATATAACCTATATTGATTTAAATATTTTGTTCTAAAAACAGTAGAAAATGCACCTTTACCTATTTCTTCGATATTTTCAAATTTATCATATGACATCCAATGAAAAAATTCCTCTTTCTTTCTAGTAGTACTAGCTTGTTCAGTGATAGCAGATTTTAAATACCATTCAAAAGCAATATCTATATCCTTTTCAACAACAACTCCTTTTCGGTAATATTCACCAACATAATACATTCCATTAGGATATCCCATCTCTGCAGATTTTTTATAGTATTCAAATGCCTTATGGTCATCTTTTTCAACACCAATTCCATTTTCATAACAATATCCAACATTAAATGGTCCAATATTATATCCCATTTCTATGGATTTTTTAAAATATTCGAATGCTTTTTTTTCATTCCTTCTAACTCCAATTCCATTTTCATAACAATATCCAACCGAATTTATTCCATTAGCGTCACCCATGTTTGCAGCTTTTTGATAATATTCAAATGCTCCTTGTCTATCCGGTACAACTCCGGTTCCAACTAGATAACAACTTCCAACATACCATATTCCACGAACATCACCCATATTAGCACTTTTTTGATAATATTCGAATGCTTTTTGGTTATCTTTTTTGACTCTAATTCCTTCTTCATAACATCTTCCAATCTTAAATATTCCTGTAGTATCACCCATATTAGCAGCTTTTTGATAGTATTTGAATGCCATTTGTTCATCTTTTTCAACTCTGATTCCAAATCGATAACATTCACCTAAAGCACATAAATGACCCAAATCAGCAGCCTTTCTAAAATACTCAAAGGCTTTTTTTCTATCTATTCCAATATAACGACCCTCTATATATTTTTGTCCAAGTTGATAAAGTTCTTCAGCATTTTGATTCATTGTTATTTTTTTTTAATATAAAATTTTTATATTTCGTTTATAGTTACTTAAATCTATGCTGGTTAATTGAATATTAGAAAACTTTATTGATTATTTTTGTTGTACTAATTTAGTGTACTAAACATTGCATTATCATTTTTTGTAATAATTATTAATTTAAACAAATAAAAATTTAAACTTTATGTAAAATGCTTAATTTTTAATAGTAAAATTTTTTATATTTAATTCCATCTATTCAAACTATTCAAGCTGTTTAATCCATTCAAACTGGTCAAAAATATGACCATTCATCCACAATATGTTTGATTTGAACCACAAAACGGTGGCCATTTACTTCGCCATTGCCCATTGGTTTAAAATATCTTTTTGATACATCAAATGAATATTTGATGTTTGATCATCTTTAACAATCGACATCGATAAATTAAGTTAATCAATACGAATTCATTGAATAGCTAGTATTTACTATGTCGGTTTAGCCTGCCTTAAATTCGGGACCACATGGATGGTTAGACAAAATAATTCATTTAAAAAGAGTGTATTGGAGCTGAACAGTATTGAACCAAATACAGAGGTCAACTCGTCAGAAAATTATTATGTAAAATTTTTTTTTAATATTGGTTTTTTTTTTTTTTTTATTAACATAAATATATATACAGTAATAATGAAAGTAATGAAAGTAATGAGAGTAATGAAAGTCTATGCATAGAAATTCCTTTTATTTAGTTTTATTGATACATTATCAATACACTTTGTATACCATTAGGGTGATTCATAATTCGAAAATAAGTGAGGTACAAAATGTCCTATTCCTGTTTTGAAATTTTGAAGTCAGAAAATGAAATAGGAGTTAAAATGAGTATCCTTTTTTTTGATGATATATTGTTATCATATAACACTATCTAATAAATTAATAAAGAACTACAAAAAATTTTTTAAAATTCATAAGTAATATTACATACTTATTTTCGAATTATTAATATTTTATATGCCTTCCAAAAAATTTTTAAACAAACCATTAAAGAAAGGAGCTTGAAAAAATACATAGAACTTAATAATTTTTTCACGAATAAGGGGTTTCAGAATTGAAAAAAATAGCGTACAGTATTTCAGAAATAAGTAAGAGTTTAAAAAATCTTATCTGTGTATCAAAATTTTGAAATCTGAAAATGAAATAGGGTGTTTAGAGACTCCCATTTGACGAAATAAGTAAACCTTTTTTTTTATTATGCAGATCAACGAACTATTTAATGATAACAAAATAATAAAATTTTCGCTCAAATTACTTACTGAACCTTTGCTCAAATTACTTATTAAACCTTCGCTAAATTAATTTTTTTATATAACTTACTGAACCTTTGCTCAAATTGTTTTTTTATAAATTATTTTTTATATAACTTATTGAACTTCCACTTAAATTATTTCTTACATAACTTATTGAACTTTCGCTTATAGTAAATTTCACCATCTTTTTAGTGGCTTGTATTCAAGTACAACATCAGTTCCATCAATAAATCCAACACAACCTTTAAATCTAGACAATTGCTCTATTCTACTACTAATTTGTTGTCGCTCAATTAGAATTAGACCACTGACATAAGTATCTCCAATTGAATTAATAGCTGTTACTATATGTTTTGTATACTCAATCACAGTGTCAATTTCTATGCCCACTGTCTAGCAAATCATCCTACAGAAGCACCATTTCCATTATAACCTAAGCAATCTAAAGTTACTACCAATCGTTGCTAAACTGGTCTTTGTAAATGTTTAGAATTATTTAAAAAAACAGGATTATTGCGAATTAAACTTTCTATGTACCAGAACTTCTCTTTATTAACTCTAGTAATTTGCTTAAAACTATAATCATTATAATCAACTGTTAAGCAAAAGAACATAAAAAATCATTAGATTTAATTGTTCTTTATATATAGTAAGATATCAATTCAGTTCTATAGCTTGTATTAATTCTAATAATTTATCAACTTATTTATCCAGAACTTTAGTAATAGCTTTATTCATAGTGTCTTTAAAAGATTTTTGATATGTTTAATTTGATGTGAAATTTTAGGCATGTTAAATATAAAAAATATTAGAAGCAGTATCTATTAACAATAAAATAATTTATGATAAGGAAAGAATCATATAAATAAGTGATTTGGATTTTAATTGAAAAATAAGTACATCACTTATTTAAAAATAAATACGTCATCTTATTTTATCAAAATAAAGATATATGAAGTTTAATTCTGAAAACCCTTACTGGACAAAGTTGATAATGCAGATTTCAAAATCACTGGTAGCTCATTATTTTGCTTATGAAACTACCTTTTGCATTCTAATGAAAAAAATTTTGGTAATATCTAGGAATGTTAACAGTCTGGTCTGGTTAAGTCTGGTCAATTTAGGTACAAATCTAGTCTATTATGGTCTTCAGTCTTAAGACTTTGCTAGTCTAGACCAGTTCAGACCAGTCCAGTCTTAAGACTTAGAGCAGACTAATTTATTTTAGGTCCAGACTAGTTTTAAGACTAACTATGGTCTATTAGTCTAAGACCGGACTATATATTTTTTATAATAAAAAATACCCCTAAACCCTAACCCTAACCTAAAAAAATACAAAAAAAAATGTACCCAAAAATATACATTTTCGGTGGCTTGTTTATTTTAAGGTATACTCCAATTTTATTTTAATCTAATTTTATTTTAACCTGTTACAATAATTGATAAACTTAAAAGCTCGAAGTTTCTAAATTATTTCTATATCATATATATTTTGGGTTAGAGTTAATACAAAGTTTGTTTTGATTGGTAAATTATTATGATCTACAAAAATACCGGTTTCATATAATCACATGTTATTTGACCAATAAAATAGTTCATTATTGCGCATATAATTAATCAAACATATGCGAGGTAATATTATGTACTAATAAAATATTAGCATTTTAAAAATTGATTCATCTCACATACTAGAACTTCTTTCTGGTAATTTTTGTAATGTAATTATAATGTAAAAAAAGTTACATTTTTAAATTTTCATTTATATAAGTAAATTTATAATAAAATCTATTTTTTAGATTAATTTTTCTAAGTAATAATTAAAAAATTTTTAATTAATTAAAAATTTAAACCCGTAAAATCATTTGCCACAAAAATTGTAAGGTAAATCAATTTATAAAATATATACTAAAATTTTTGTATGACTTAATTTTTATTACTATTATATTGTAAAGTTTATACCTGTTATGTCAAGATTTTGCTTAGTATACAATGTATTGAAAGCTCATTATTTCAAGATTGCAGTAATTGTGAAATTATCTTTAATTTTTATTATTTTATTTTTTGAATTTTACAATAAAAAAATCTTGAGTTTTTTGTCTAATAAACTTAATTTAACAATAGTACAGCTATATAAATTATTAAATAATAAATTAGAAAATGCTTTAAAAATAATAGAAATTTTGATAAGAGTTATTATGTAAAAGATTATGTGTAAGATTATTATGCATAAAATTATTATGCATAACATCATTTATATTAGTAAGTTCCAAGTTATGTATAAAATTATATAGTCCAAGTTATTATAATAGTATGATCTAATTCACACATAAAATTGTATAGTTCAAGTCATTGCATATAAAGTCTTTATATTAGTATGATCCAAGTTGTTATATATAAAATTGTATGATCCAAGTTGCTACACATAAAGTCATTATATTAGTATAATCCAACAATAAATAATTTATATCTGTATAGTTATTTAAAAAATAAAAGTTAGGGTATTAGTAGTTGTAATTTATATAAAAAAACATGTAAAAGATTTTGTAAAAGCAGATTTGGCTACCTCTATACTTATCTTAAAGAAAATAAAGTAATTTTCTTAAAGCTCATACTCTCAATACATTATTAATCTACAATATCTTTCAAAAAAAATTATGATTCTTGTTCAATTTATAATTGTTAGACAAATTTAAATTAATATCATAAAATTATGGATTGTACTCTAACAAAAATAAAAGCAAAAGATATTAACAATCAATATAATTATTTAGAAGTTAAAATACAATTATGTTATTCTTATTATTTAAATATTGTCAAACCTAATCATTATGATAAAAATAAATTATTTGTTAATAGTATATATATCATTGAATCTTTTAATCTCAATAATACTGATACTTTACTAACTAGTAGTATACCTGATATTGTAATTTCTAGACTGTTATCTTTTGGCAATAAGATTGCTTTAATAACAAAAGTATTATATAAAAAGCAGAAAAAAGAAAATTAATTACTTGAATTAGATTCAGATAATTTTTAAAGAATGCTTGAAAGTTCAGATCTGTCATTAAAATAATTTTTTAATAAATTATATAATGCATTTAAAAAAAAAAAATTAATTACTTGTATTAGATCCAGATAATTTTTAAAGGATACTTGAAAGTTTAGATCTGTTATTAAAAAGATTTTTTAATAAATTATATAATGCATTTATTCTGAACAGGTAATCTGCTTATAATAAAAAAAGAAGTAGTTAATATATGCTATTTAATAGCAGGGATAAGAAATAAGTTTGTAAATAATTTCTTGTTAAAAATTAAACTATATCTTGTAGCATTTAGTAGTGCTTACCAAAATCAAATAAAAATTTGATGATCAAATACTTAATAAATATTTGACAATCATAATTTTCAAATTAGATAATATATAATCTCAATCTAATCTAAACTTCGCATATAATTTCATATTGCATTACTAGATTCTCATATTTGAGATTCTTACAAAATACAAATTTAACTTTATAAATATTAAAAGCTTAAGATCTTACTTTATTATCAGTAAGGTATCAGATTCTCCAGTAGTTTGTTTAAGTCTTACTAAATGTTTAAATCACTTCCAGATCTAAAGAAAGAGTAGAAATTGGTCTAAATAATGAAACAGCAATTTAATCAAGGGTGGAATCACTTCCGGATCTAAAGAAAATATTAGAAATTGTTTAATAGCAATTTATTAAGAAGTAAAAATGAGAAATTCCTTGTAGATTTAAATAAAGATGAATTTAAATAGAGCATTAGTAGAGAAGTATAATTTTTTTTTATTTAATGTAGTTCATAAATTTCTTTAAATGTCATAGCTCTAATATTCTTTTTCTTTTCTAGGCATCTATTGGTGGTGTTCTTTTAGTTCTTAGTATATTCTAAAAATGTATTATTTGTTTTATGTTATAGTAGACACATTACTCTTGGTATATTTTAGGGTATCTGCATTCTTGTAGACATATTATCTTTTTTTTTTCCTATTTTTTAGAAAAATATGAATTTTTTTTTATTTAATATTTATTGTTTTTGAATTTCTTTGAATGTTATAGCCTAATATTCTTTTCTTTTCTGGGCACCTATGGTGGTGTTCTTTTA